AATAATCATTTTGAAGGCCTGAGACCCCAAGCCACATAAAGAGGCCAAATGATGTTTGCAGGCCTTGGAAAATTACTTGGGAGGCTTGAGGTCTTCAATCACAAATGGAGGCCAAATTTTTTCCCAGCTTTGGAAAAACATTTGGAGGCCTGAGGCCCAAAACACAAAAGGAGGCCAAATGATTTTTCAGGGCCTTGGAAAAATCAATTCGGGGGCCTGAGGCCCCACAAAATGAGGCCAAATTATTTTTGCAGGCTTTGGACAAATCATGTTGAGGGCCTGAGACCCCAAACCACATATGGAGGCCAAATAATGTTTGCAGGCCTTCAAAAATCACTTGGGAGGCTTGAGGTTTTCAACCGCAAATGGAGGCCAAATGATTTTTCCAGGCCTTGCAAAAATCATTTTGTAAGGTTTGGAGGTCATCGTAGTCGTAGTAGTAGTAGTAGTAGCAGCAGTAGTAGTAGTAGAGGAGTAGGAGTAGGAGTAGGAGTAGTAGTGGGAGGAGAGGCCAAACGATGCATTCGGTTATTCGATGCGGTTCGGGCGGTTCTTGATATGTTTTAGATTCGCACGCTTCGGTTCGGTTATTTATTTTCGGTTCTTGCGGTTCCGGTTCGTGCGGTTCCGGTTCATTCGGTTCCGGTGCGGTTCATGGCCTTCATGAAGTGCTGCGTGCAGCTGCAGGGAGTTGAGATTGCAAGACGCTTCATGAAGGAAGACGTCAGACAACGCAACAGCATAGGTCACAAGACAAAACGCTTGTAAAGCTCTTCCTTGGCCGGGACACAGTCCCGAACTTTGCATCCTTGCTTTTCGAATCCTGACATGGCAAGGCTTTCGCTGCGATTTTATGCGGATCACTTTGTTGATGTCACTGAAAGCCGTGAGAGGGGCAGGACTTCTTGAGAAATTGAACCTGCCCGCTTTAAGCGAGCTCATTGCTTGTTTACCGGCTGGGACGAGGTAACGTATGCCATTGAAATGGGCAAGAGCCGCACAGGAGGAGTCTCCAGCAACTAGCATGCCGGCCCTCTACAAAGGAGGGCTTTAAAAGACTAGGACCGCTTTGCAGCCTTGCCTACTGGTAGATGAGTTGGACAGCCTTCCAGACTGTGAGTTCAGACCTCGTTGCCCCAGCAGCTGAGAAGGTTATCAAGTACGAAGAAGCAGGATGAAATATTGATGCAAGTGGAGCCAGAGCTTGTATGTCGGCTAAGCATCCTCCAGCCGTCCAGGCCAGCCATTCCCGCACACTGCAGGAACTTTCCAAAGTATCGTGTAGAGCTTGGTTTGCTGCTGGAAGAGCGCTGCGACTTTAGATGACCTGACGACAGAATTGCCAAGATCTCGCAACGAGCAGCTTGCCGGCATGATCTCCGAGGAGCGACTGGGGTATTGGGAATTTCCCATCGGTGCACAAGCTCTAAGGGCAGTGCCATCATATACAGAACAGTACTGTCCGCAAGTGTTCGTGGTGTTGGGACTAGCATCTGTGCAGTTTTGTCGAGGAGCAGAGGATGAGAGAGGCAGAAGCAACTCAAGTCAAGCAAGGCCCTGCTGTTGCTGAGTAGATTTCGATTGTCATTGTCTCCGCAGTGAGTCTGCAGGTGTTCGAGAGGCAAAAGAAACGCTGACAACACAGCTTGCTCCTTGGTTTCCCCCTCAACTTTCGTTGGGAGGTATTTTCCATGAATCCAAGAGGTTGGAGGAGCTTCGTGGCATCTTTGAGACCTTCCAGCGCAACGCTTTGGATGTGGATGAGATGCTAACCAAACAGCCCTCGTCTCAACGGCACCCTGAAGGTTCTACTGAGTTCGCTGTCTTAGCCTGACGCTCCTGGATACAGGTTGGCGGACACGAGAAGCAGTCTCGAGACCGTGCAGGCTTTGTCTTGGAGAGTGCTGAGCTTGTCAGCTTAGCTACAGCGGCGTAGTTGTTATAATGTTGCTTTTGTAAAAGAGGGTCCTCTAGTCATCCCGTCAGCATGACCAGGCATGCACCATTAATCCTAGTTCGGTCCGTGCTTCTAGCATCAGCGGCGCATGCCGTCCCCATGATACCACGACCATCATCATCATCATCATCATCACCATCACCATCACCATCACCATCACCATCATCGTCGTCATCATCATGTCATGTCAATCTCAATCATTCAGATCTACCATTCTCTGCGGTTGCCCACATCTTCTCCTGTCACTGTGCATCATTTTCTTTCGTCCGCACCCTGTTGCATCAGACACCTTGTATCACCTTGTCATCGTCAGTAACATCTTCCTCTTTCATGCTGAAGGTCGTGATGATGATGGTTGTCATCATCATCATCATCATCATCATCTGTCCCGCAATCATCACCGCCAATCCTATCTCCTGTCATTTGTTAAGCCATCATGCTGATCCTGACGCCGACATCATGCGAAGCGTTGCCCTTCTTAAATCTTCTGAAGAGCTTGTAAGCCACCAGCTCTACTTTGTGCTAGCTTGCGTTGGCGATGGCTTGGACCCCCCTCACTCATATACCGATCCTTACTGCCTTCTCAAGAACAAGAAAGTATCACGCCTTTGCTTCTTCCCATTTTTCGTCGCTCTGTGCCAGTCGTTTGCTCTTCTGGAGGATGCTGTCGTGAAAGCTGGTGTTGTAAGCTTGTGAATGTTGATATTACTTGTTCCGCTTTTCTTTTCTTCGTGATTTTTGCCTGCTCGCCCCACCATTAGCTGGCGGAATTAACTGGTGGAAGCTGCAGCTAAAGGTTTAGTGGCGCGAGTGTTGGGATGACAAGTTGAGTTCCTCAACTTTGTGCTGTCAATCAGTTCTAATGGAGTTACATGAGCGGGGGAGTCGCTCTTGTTATGGCCGTCCGCGTGTGGATTCTGACATGCAAGGAATCAGGTGACGCAACTTGTTCGCTCAGATGGCTGAGCGCAGTGTGCAGTGTGGGCCTCCAACGTTTTGGCACCTCGATGTTGATTCCTTTTCCATGCGCCAGCGTGCTAGGCAGCGTAGCGAGATTGGGTGCATGCTTGTCTTCATTCAAGTTTACTTTCAGAAGCCCCCAGCGTGTTGATTCGTGTTGATACTCTCACCTTTTCTCATTTCAGCACTCCGCATCGTGCAAATCTCAGGCAACTCCAGATCTGCCGGCCAGATCACCCGCCTGCTTTTAATCTTTCACAATCGGAAGCAAAGTTGCGCATCACAATTTCTACTCAAATCCAGTTCCAAGAAGAAAGGTTTTGGAGCAAATCCGAGCTTCGCAGTAGCAAAGATCCCCCCAAAATAATGTCCGAAGGCTCAACATTCTGGAGTTCCCCCCAAGTTCTCCATAAATGAAGGGAGACCTCACGCAGCTCGGTAAGGGGTAGCTTTGGAAGCAAGCTCTAGCCTTCAGTTCCTCATAAACTTCAGTTAGCAAATCAGGTGTTAGAATCAGCTTTCCTGTTTTCATTTTCAAAGCAGCTAAGTAAGTGAGTCTCAAACAGCTTGTTTCAAGGTGAGCTCCTGAACACACGCAAAATAATGAAAAGCTGTTTGAAACCATTTATAAATCATCCAAATCTGTTTTGAGACAAATTACGCAATTTAAAATCCTTTTTATCCCTGGCGGTGTGTATTTGTGATGTTCATATTTATCTCAGCAGAAATCCTCATTAATTGCAAGGGTGAACTGGAGGATAAAATTGAGTAAAAACACGCAAAAGAATTTGAAGCCTCGAAAACACATACCGCCGCCCGCGTCGTCATACACTCCAGTATACTCGATTGTTCTAGGGAGTTTTCTTTAAATGAAGAGAGACGATGTCACGCAAGCTTCGTAAAGCAATGTTTAAGCATTTGATTTCCCATAAAGTGTAGTAAGCAAATCAGGTTTCAAAATCAGCTTGCCTATGCTCATTTTCACAGCAGCCAAGTAAGTGAGTCTCCCTAAACCTTCAACTTTTGAAGGTGAGCTCCTGAATGTACTTATAAACTAAATAAAAAGCTAACTAGAATCATTCATATTTTTTGAGCCAACTGAGGGTTTTTCCAGAGGTCCTTGTCTTCCAATTACACTTGGGTTGACCATTTGAGAACTTGCGAAAGTGTCGCGAAAGAAGACGTTACGAGAAAAGACTTTCGCGAAAGTTGGCAATTTTGGGGAAAGCAATCTTCAACAAACGCCGATGAGAAATCAAACCTCCTTTTTATGGTTAGTTTTTTGTGTTCTAGGGGGTTTTCCATAAATGAAGAGAGACCTTCTCACGCTCAACAGCTATTCAAAAGCTGTCGTGAATCAAACAACATCTATACAATGAGTTAAAAACAATTTCAAGGAGGCTTTTGTTGTTTTGTAGGGTCTGGAATGCATTTTCTTTAAATACAGGGGTTTTTGACCCCAAGCAGGCTCTGCCTCTATAGCGCTCTTGGACTCCTAACTTGGCCCCACGCAATTTTTGGATCTACGATGTTTTATTTTTGTTGAGGTCGGATTACCTCTTTGGTGACATCTTTCCTTGCGCTCAGACAGCTTCCCCCGCCATCAGCCGGGAGTTGTGGATAATTTGCTCTGCCCCTGTTGCCCCAACGCAAACACATGGGAGACTGAAAGGCATCATCAAAATTTACAATGCGCACGGCCTGCCCTGCTCTACCTTGCTAAGTCGCGTAGTGGCGAAACCTGTCCAAAAATCAATGCAGTGTCAATCCGCGCCTTAGTCATGCTGAGCATGTTCGTGCAAAGTCTGATCCAGACATGCAGGAATAAAGATGGCAAACTTGCGCAGTGTGATTGCCAGGCGGAGGAGCTCGCTGCAGCGAAATCGGCGGAGCAGCACAAAACCGAAATCGGGCATTTGAGCGACAGCTTACAGAACCTGCACGAAAGCATCATCGCAGCAGAAAGACATCGTACCGAGGCCAGGAGCGGAAGTGATCTCCAACAGACGCCAGCTTGCCTGAAAACGTATCTTTCACTCTTCATGATCAGATGGACATCCGCATCGAAGATTTTCAGCGCTTGATCCTGCCTCTCGAAGAGCAGATCCATGCCCTGGGCTCAGCCCAATTTAGCAAGTGCATCTGGAAGCGTTTAGCTCGCCTCTCCGTTTAGACCTTCCGATTGGCAACATTCCACTGTGCGGCATTGAAGCGAACCGGCTTTTTTGTTCGTGCACCCGTTGCTTCAAACCTTTCCAGTTCGGTGTATAGACTAGCAAGCTATGGCCAAGGGTTCCAGTTGGCCAGAGGCCTCTCATGAGGAGAAGGAGATATGTGTGGTGAGATTATTCCAGCGCTTTCCGGATGTCCTCCTCCATTTGGGCGATCCGCAGCTGGCACATCACTTTGACCTTCCACGGCGAAGCTCTGCCAAACTGAGTCGAAGGTCAACAACGGAGGACGTGCTGACCGTGGAGCTGACCCGCAGGCCCACCCAGGGTGCCACCCAAGGTGCCACCCAAGGTGCGCCTGCAGCGCAGGCTGCGCAGGCCGCGCAGGCCGCGCAGGCCTTGGAGGCCATGACTGCAACGCTGGCCTCCCTGGCGACTCCTTTTGCTCCGAGTTTCACTGCACCGTGTTTAGCGGCTGACGTGCCCAAAGAGGCCAAGCAATTACAAAAACGGAGCTCAAAGCCCGGGCGTTGTGAGCTTCTCTCGAAGGCGGAGGCTGGCAGCTCTAGTTCGCCATCCTTTGGACGAGCTTCAGCTGCCACGTGCACAAAAAAAGCAGCAAGGCCACCACCTCGGGAGGAATTTGAAGAGCAGGACGAGGTCTGGGTACCAGGCCAAAGCTCCGATGAAGAACTTCTGGCGAGATCCAAGTCTGTCAGGGCCTTAGATTGTAAGCCGATGTAAGCCGCAAAGCATGCCATGCGAGCCATATTATTATCATGCTTCTGCTGCTGCTTCAGGTGCTTGGCAAAAGCAACAGCTCCACGAAGTCTAAACGTGACACTTCACCATCCTCCAGCGACCCCCCAAGCTTCGAGAGCCCGTTCTTCCCGGTGGCTTTGCAGCGTGATATGGGTTCAATGGAGACCTGCGATGAGACCAGCAGTACAAGCATGGGTCTCGACTTCAAGTCTCTGCGCTCGCCTCAAGCCACCAGGATGCCAAGTGACTCCGAGCTTCTTCGAGGAATTTCGCGTGGCTTGGGGGCCAGGCGTGGCCTGGCCCTGCAGCTGAGTTCTAACCCCAAGGGCTCACGTGGGCCGGCTCCCGTACCGCCTCTGGACGATGACGGCCGCAGCACCCCACCATCAGCTTCTAGTAGAATGAGGATGCGGATGCAAGAGACTGAGGAACCTCCTGCAGTTCAGCTCCTGTTTGAGACGCAGACGCGGCAGACGCGTGAGGAGCCACCGAAAAGGCGGACCTCCAGATGCAACACGATCCCAGCTGACATGATGCTTGCAATTGGCCCGCGGATTCTGCAGGCTGCGAAGGTTCCGCGCCCTTTGCCTGCAGCTTTTCCTCGTCGGCGGAACATCATTTTCTTCGATTGGGACGACACACTTTGCCCGACTAGTTGGATTCGTAGTTTGCTGAAGGAGCACCTGGCAGATATGGAGGAATGGCTGGACCAGGGGGACGATTGTCTAGTGACGGAGGAAGATTGGCGTGACAGTATACCGAGCTGGTTCAAGCAGCCCCTACCAGACGAGCCACATGTGCGCCAACTAATTGCAGATTTACAGACCGCCTGCATTCGCACCATACGAGTTGCACAGTCGCTAGGAGTGGTGTGTATTGTCACCAATGCAGTCCCTGGATGGGTGGAGAAGACGATCAAAAGATGGTTGCCAAAACTTCGGACGCACATAGGAGTCCACTCGGTCCATTCGCAGCACCCGATCAAAGTCATATATGCACAGCAGGCCTACTGTGATGCCAGCGTAGGTGAGGATCTTCCCTTCGTGGACGAGCAGGGGGAGTTCATGCTTTGGAAGAAGGCTGCCATGGCAGGTGCATTAACGGAGCTCGATCGCCTCTATGGTCTTGAGACGGCCAGCGAGGGCCTGCGTGCGGTGCATTCGAAGCTGGTAAATGTGGTCTCCATCGGGGACACAGAAGCAGAGATGAGTGCTGCGGAGCTTGCAAGCCAAGGACTCCACAGCCGGCATCCAAAGCGAGGTCGTCTCTACAGAAGAGCCTGTGGCTTGCAAGACTTGGAACCACCTGAGCCGGGGAAGCCTCAAGGTGATAAGCCACAAAGTCGGACTTCCAGCAAAGACGAGAGCAAAGACGACGCGAGTGGAAGCAGTGGCAGTGAAAGCGGCAGCGTGGTGAAGCCAGAGAGCGAGCGCGAGCATCGTGAGCAACGCGCTCTTAGTGTGAGCGGTGAGTTCGGCGAGTTCGGGGCAGGCCGCAGCCGGTCTCTGGAGTCCAAGCGTTTGCCCTGGGTGAAATTGATCAAGCTTTCCGAGGGTTGCCAGGCACGCCGCCTTACTGCACAGCTGGACGAAATCGCGCAGCTCCTGCCAAAGATGCTGGCCTTGCGGCGCCACGTCCGGGTTGATCTCACTGAGGGGTTGGCAACAAAATCCGACCAACTCTGGGAGGTGGCTTTGGGTTGTACCGAGGAGGACCTGCAGCTTGAGCGGCATCTTTGTGTGCAAACTGTTTGACTGCAAAAAAAAAGCTGTGGAAAAACAAGTTGCGAGTGGGCTTCACCCAATCATTCTCAGATATTCTCATCATGGTCATGACATGCCATAGTTCGTGCCCGAATAGGCAAGCGTGATCACTGACTGCCTTGTGCCTGCTAGCGGGGTCTTGGCCAGTGATTTGAGGTACACGAAGATGCCTTGGCAGCAGACCTACTGAGTACCTACCGAAGTCACTGTGCAGGGTGGCCTCTTTTGTTTTGCTGATTTGCATTGAGTGCTTGCTTGGCCGTGCAGTGGCTCCATGTGCCGTGTGTCACCCGATTGACGAAAGGGGTGCCAGTGAGGATACAGATATTTTAGTGGCAGAACAACTTGAATGCATGTGAATTGGCACGCCACCAAACGGTAAGCCACGACTTTGCTACACATTGGAGCTCTTGCAGTCCACAACATCCTGTAGCATCAAGATGTTTTTCCTTCGAGGCGAAGCTTGCTTCAGATCAGCAAACACGACAGCTAAAAGAAGCAGCGGTGCAGGTTCCTTCGGCTTGTCGCAGTCCTTTATTCTTCACCCTTCTGCGGCGATTGTTGTGGGAGGAGCGCTTCGAGAGCGAGCGCGCAGCTCGAGAACTTCAGCGAAGTTGCCTGAGTGTTGGCACTCGATGGACCATCGCCGCATTCGGGTTTCTCTGCGAATCTCTTCGAGGCCGTGAGCTTTCTGGGATCGTCGCTCGGGAACGAAAGGCCTTCGAACGCCTGACCGTCGCTCGGCAAAATTCTGCTTCTCCACAGCCTCCACAGTGCAGAAACGGTGTTAGCCGAGGTCCTGGAGCAGGGTCTGCTGGCAGTGGATGAGCTGGCCCGCCGTGAGATGGAGGCAAAGGGTCAAAGCATGTCAAAGCCATTAAGCCCTCAGCCCTTTGCTTTTGTTCCTTTTGTTCCTCCTGCTTCAGGCACGAGCACGAGACACGCGTCGGCTCTGGGATGCCTTGGACAATGTCTCCAACGATACTTCTCAGGCCATACAAAGTGCACCAGGGCGATTGTGGCTTTTACATGTTGCAAAGCTGCAAAGCTGCAAAGTTGATGCAGCAGTACAGTGGCTCAAAGGCTCCTAAAGGGTGCGCAGCTGCCAATAGGAGGGCATGCCCAGGATACGCACTCTGAACACCAAGAAGGCACAGTCCCGTACAGGCAGCTTTCGTGCAGTGCAGCATCTGCTATTTGCTCCTTTTCTGAGGCTCCAGAAGGATGGGATGACGTTGCCCCCCAGCTCGAGGAGTTTGCGAACCAGATGCCCAACCCTGAGCTGTTGCCGTCCCGACTTGGCCAGACTTGATCGCTTGGTGAGGCGAGATGCAGTGAACGAGCCCCATGAGGGCAAGCGACGAAATGAGGCATCTGGAAGCTTAACCTGAGTCCGAGAGAACTTCAGCTGGGCCAGGCCACGTGGAAGATTACCAAAATTCACTGGGAACGTTCTAGGCCAGTCTCAACTTTGTCTCAGCAAGCTTGCGCATGGAGATGGAATGCCGTGGCATTAGAGCACATGTGAGCACATGTCAAAATGTGCTGTATCATCAGGTATATCTACGAGCTCTATTACAAGAAGAAGGCATCGTTCACCGGAGCTCCCCTGAGCAAGTCTGGTAGCACAGGGCTTTCGCGAGGCAATCAGCAGACAGCTCTACGACTGGCTCTTGCAGGAGAAGCACGCAGAAACTTGGCCCAGCTTGTGTGCCAAGCTTGACAACACCTGGGCTGTCAAATTGCCCAGGATGCTGCCCTGATTGCCAAATGGCGGAAGCCTGGCTTTGAATATCTGTGCTCCCTCATGGCCGTTGACAAAAGGAATACCAACTTCGGAACAACAGCCATTTGCACCTTGGCAGAGTTTTCCTGAAAGCTGGCAGCAGATCGCTTTCCGCTCCAAGCCCAACAACAAAAACATGCGATGCCACAAGAACTTGGATGCGTGTATGAGACTGGCATTGAAGCAGCCTAAGGCCGCGTGCCTTTGCACTTGAGAAAGGCTGGTGCTGCACAGCCAGCGGTCTCCACAGGTGCACCTGTTGTTCCGTGCATGTTTTGAAGGGCTGTTTGTTGCTGCTGTTGCCTTACGTTGCCTTGTTCACCTGAGGCTGCATCTCCTGCTCCTCCCAAGAGGCTGGGCGCCTTGGAGGTCCCATCTGGTGGGACTCACCTCGGCCAGCGGACCTGATTGGCTGGGCGAAGGACTCCTTCAAGACTGAATACCGCCATGCCCCCATCCTTTTCCGGGACGCGTGGATTCTTACAGGCTGGCTGCCCCACAGCTGAGAAGCCCGGGAAGAAGCGCAAAGTGGAGGAGGAGGGAGAGGACGCCGCAACAGAGACATCGTGCCGCCTTGTATGTGCTGAGGCTTTGGCCAGGTTTTAGGCGTGTGCAAATGCAGATACTGGTGACCGCAGGAGGCTGAGTTGGAGGCACGAGCTGCAGCGCTGCGGCGTGGTGTCAACGCAGGTCTCAGGCAGATAGGGGCAACGGTGTATCAGTTCATTGAGAGCTCGCTGGGTTTCTCTGTAAATACGGGCTGCCTCTTCAGGGCCGCTGAAGCGGACGCCCTAGAAGCTGCTGCGGCTGCCTTTCGTGGGTCTGCAGAGAAGGCTGTTAGCGGACGAAGCTTTGCGGTCACAGGTATCAGACTCTTCTTGCGAGGCACCGCCACTTCGTGTGCACGACGATGAGAAGGATGAAGCCCCTGAAGAGGGCAATGCAGAGCCTAACGAGGCAGAGCAGGAAAGCTGACCTTCGGCGATCTTGCGGAAGAAAACTGGAGCTCGCCGAGATGTGACCGCTTGCCCATCTTGCTGAAACGTGCAGGTATGGTTGAAGATACGTGCTGCAAGCATGTTGCGGGTGCAGGACATGGATCCCTCGCTGCCCTCCCAGCCACTGACGAGTCTGCTAAGGCGAGGCGAGGTTCATTCTTATGTAAGCTTTGGTCACCTGTATTGGCATTTTTGATGCCCTGATTGTCACGGGCTTGCCTTGCCGTGCATGCCCCAACAGAGTTAGTGGCTATCCAACTCCCTCGGGCAGATGGAGGCACGCCGAATTCTTAATCAACTGGGGGTGCTCAGGCCCCACAGTGCATGTGAGCAAGCGCCATCCAGGCAGGCTGCTAGGAATATGGTTGTGCTGCTAAAGCCAGCCATCGAAACGGCGCAGCGCCTAACTGGTCCGCCGCAAATTGAATCGTGACATTGTGTAAGGTGTCTGCCTGCTCCAGACCTGCTGTT